ATACAGAGATAAATAAAAATAACCAGTGCTTTATCCTGAAATCTCTGTCAGAGGAACCTCTTTTTCTTGGTTACCAAGTTTCTTCAGGTGCTGCTAGAAAACAGTTGTGCCTCCCTGTGGGAAGTTGTGCATCACCAAGAGAACTTGGGCTACCAGGAGCTTTAAAAGGGCACTGCTTGGAAGGCTGTCCAAAGGGTCAGTCGGGCCTCTGATGTTTCCACAACTGCATGAATCCACTGGGAGAGCTCCTCGTTTGTGCGTGGTGCGGGGCTCGGTGTTAATATGTGGGTGGTGCCAAGCTCTGTCATCGGGCTTTGAAAACATGCTTTTGTGTTCAAGTGGATGGTGCCGGAGATTCAGAGTTGCTTTGCATTTTCTTGCCACTCTGTTCCCATGCTTCATGTTAGTTGTTTTGGCTTAGGTTTATTTTATTGTGTTTTTATTTTGTTTTTAACTTGTCACTCTGAAAAACTGTCAAGGGATGAAAAACTCTTTAAATTGATTAAAAAGTATCTTTGTGTTTACCAAAATCTATAATGGACCCACAGTATCCTCTTTGCAACTGATAGTGGCGGCAGAAGCAGACTTTGTACTGAAATTAGCTTGGGGAAAACCCTTTAAAATTCAAAAGAGAGGGGCTTGTTGTGAGAAGCCTTGATTCAATTCAACATACCACTCGCAGAAATCAGCAGGCCCATTCTCCCTTTAAGTTGCTCAGAGCATTTCAGCTCTTGTTTTGCTGCAGGATGAAAATCGTGAGCTGTTGCTTTTCATTTCAGGGTTCCCCCCTTAAATCATACATCTAGGTAGCATTTGCTGCTAAAACAGAATGCATAGTAAAATATTTGTGGAAATGAAGATTAAAACTGAGTGAGATTAGCAGGGCGGTGGAGTACTGGGAGCTTAAGAATTAGCTAGTTTGGATTGAGGATGGGGGTGATGAAACCAGCTTGACATCAGCATGGTGGGAGGCCCTATTCTGTAGCGCATGCCTTTCATTTGTCCACTTAGCTGGCCTCTCTGTAAGCCATTATGAGTTTCCTCAGATGAAGGATGGTGGAGGCCACGTTGCGCCAGCTCACTTCTAAGTAAACAGCCACAGCTCTTGTGGGAAGTGGGAATTGGCTTGTGTGGGGAGTAGCCCAGGTCACCCCATTCTGTATCTTCCACTTTCCTATGTCAAAGTTAGGGTGCCAGACTTTGGACTACCTTCCTCTCCTAGGTGGGGGGGGGGGTGAGTGCTGATCCTGGAGATCTGCTTTCTTTGTCGCCGACTGTGACTCAGCCTTCCTGCAGAGGGTGGGGTGTGTCCAGAAATGCACTCAAAATAGTTAATGCATGTTGGGTACCAAGCTCTGCATATTTGCAGTTTGAATCTTTAAATTCCCATAAATGGTTTTGTGCAGCTTTTAATTTAATACATTTCCAAGTTCCTTGTGCAAGCCAGCGCCTTATTGCTGTCAATTTTGTTTAAGGTCGACATTGGCATTGCATGTTTTAGGGTTCTGTGATTTGATATTTTCAGTCATTATTTTGTGCAAGTGGTATTATAAGTCTTGGATCCCCCTCCCCAAACTTTCTGTACATTTCTGATTTCTTTTGCTTTTAAAATGAATGAGGACTTGTGCAAGTTTTTTTTTTTAAATCCAGAAAACTTGCAGGCATTTTGGACTCTGTTGTTTACACAGGTATCTTGAGCTTTTAAAAAAGAAATTCTCATGTAGACTGTAGCCCATTCTAAATGCTGAAATTGATATGGTAACTCAGCATGTGTCATATGAAGTCCGCATCAGCATGGGGGAAATGCAACTGAATCCAGAAGGCAAAGTCAGGAAAATATTTTGGATTTCCAACCCTCAGACAGATTCCTTGCGCGCTCCCAAGTGGGCCTTGTACTGCAATATATTTGCAGGGCATCGGGTGGAAAAAACAGACTTAGGGAATGTTTATATGGCTCGTTTCTGGCTTGTGTCATGTTTGCATGTTCTGTCTTTTCCAAGCAACTCAGAAAGTGTCCTTGGCAGCTGCCTGTGGAATTAGATTCTTGTGCTCCTTTGGAAAAGAATTATATGTGCAACAGCTCCTCTTGTGGCTTGTAAATGCAACTAATGATTTAGCTTAATTTGCTTAATCATTGGTCAGTTGGCAAAAACTTTTCCCACTCCTAAACAGGAGAAAGCCAAGGTTCTAGTTTCTCTGACAAAGCTAGGCAAGCCTGCTCTGGAGCAAATTTTCATTCCATTTTTTGGATATACAAAATTACCAAGTTACTACGGTTTATCACCCTCTTAGCCAAACAGTACAGTACAAACACAAAACTCAAATTCTTACAGTCTTGTTTACACTGATCCCAAACCTGGGCAAGCGCACCCTGGGTGGTTCAGTCTTCTGTCCTCTGGACTGGATAATATTGCTCAGTCTTAATTCTGTTACTGTTGGAGGACCTTTGCCCAGCCACGTGTGCGACTTTGACCTAAGTACACAGGTTGACTCAGGTTGTCTTCTGCATTGCCAGATACTGCACTGAAGATACAGTTCTTAATCTCTATGGTAATTCCACTACTATTTCCAGTGGAAGCTTTTAGTTACCCCCACCTCATAGCATTTTGTGAACTCAGGTCCCTGGGATGGCCCTTTCTCCCTAAAATTAGGGTTAGGGGAAAATCCGGGTTAGGGTTAGGGTTGGAGAAACGACGACCCCAACGAACTTTCTGCAGCCTGCAATGTCAACAGGCTGGACCCAGACGGTGAGCCGGGCAGAAAAATCCCCACCTTGTGGCCTTTTGCAAAGTCGGGTACCACCCAGGGCCCTTTCTCCCTAAAATTAGGGTTAGGAGAAAATCCAGGTTAGGGTTAGGGTTGGAGAAACGATGGCCCCGATGAACTTTCTGCGGCCTGCAATGTCATCAGGCTGGGCCCAGATGGTGAGCCGGGCAGAAAAATCCCCACCTTGTGGCATTCTGCAAAGTCGGGTACCACCCATGGCCCTTTCTCCCTAAAATTAGGGTTAGGAGAAAATCCAGGTTAGGGTTAGGGTTGGAGAAACGA